GAGTTCCAGCCAGATCTTTTTTCTCCTCCAATTTTAAGAAGCTGCTGGGCTTAAGCCCTTTTTGAAGAGGGTTCAGTATTTCTTGGTCTTTACTAAGCACAGATTATTGACTTGATAAAGCTAAAGAGAGCCTTCAAAAAAGGCAACACACTGTGGTTGAAATTGGGATAGTGGTTCAGAAGCTAAAATTATTGTGCTACTTGCTTAAGAGTGCTGAGGTTTGTTACATGATACAGCTTTACTGGGAAAGGGTGCTTAACCTAGAGGTGCTACTAGTTGGAAACATTTTGGTCTGTGCCAATATAGCAGGGCAGGGCTTGCTAAATCCTGCTTACTAGTGAAATGAAATCCAGGTTACCTACGTACCTATCATGAGATGTTGATGGTGAGGCAGTGTCCAGATAGACATGTGAATATACCAGAGTATGTCGGGCTGTTGTGGCTGAAGTCCTAGATGGTCATTGTATGTAAGAAACAGCCAACTGTCCTGCCCACCCTAGTTGCAACCCTGATCATCTCTGCTTCCTGGTGTTTTGGATGCTGGTTGTTTTTCCATTTTACTTCTTGATATGTGTAGAACTTGACTGAGGGAAGACTTCAAAATTTGGATGGGCATGCATGGCGTTAGGCTTAGTGAAAAATGCACTAGCACGCTACCTGGTTTCTGTTGTTTGGCCCTTTGGCTTCCAGCAGTGCCAGCAGTTCCATGGCTGGCTTGAAAGCAAAGTCTGAATTAGCTGACTTGACTCCAGTCAGGGAGGAAATCAATGGGAGATGTCACTGTGGGATTCTTTCCCACAGTTCCCATTGCCAGGCTCTGCAGCACAATGAAATAGTACATCCAGCTATAGGGCTCTCAGCTGAATGACTAGTGGAGCAATAGGCTTAGTGATGTTGCTACCACAATTGGCCAGTAATAGTGGCAGCAGAGCAACTTAAGACCATCAGTAGTACGTTCCCCTCAGGGTTCTTTTCTCTGTGGTGTGTGTGTATGGAAGGGGAGCGGAGTGGAGTGGAGGTGAAATATGTAATGCCCTCTACTGTGCCTATGCCCCCAGATAATTTTGTATTGGTTCTGCATTGGATTCACTGAGTTCCCCATCTTTAAAATGGGTAAATCTTTTACATCTAGAATACTTCCTATGCAATTTTGATGATATATTCACAAATCATAGAATCATAGAATAGTAGTGTTGTAAGGGGCCATGAAGGCCATCAAGTCCAAACACATATATATGTGCTTGTTTTCATCTGTAGCCTGTGGTTTGGGTCATTCTGTTGGTCTCTAGGAAGGAATCACTGATAGAGTTGTGTTTCTCAGCTGCAAAATGCATCATTTCTATCTTCCTAATGCCTAATGAATTTGGCTTGACAAACAGTCTTCAGTAGGTGTTGTCCAGTTAAGTTACCTTCTCTGTATGTACTTTGAGTTCCTCCGTTGTGTCCATCCACAGTTGGAGTGCAGGTTGTGTTAGGCTGATAAGTGGTGGCTTGGAATTGTGAATGATTTATGGCTTGGTAGCAGATGGCTTGTCAGCAAACAGAAAAGCTCCTCTCTTGGTTAAAGAGCCCTTTCTGCTACTTTGCCTCCTAGACTCCAGTCATGAAGCTCTAGTTTAAAGAGAAAAATATCATGCAATCCCAAAGCCCAACTACCTCTGCTCCAGTCTAGACCCAAAATGTAATCTCTGTTTATTTGCAAAGCTTTTTCTGGCATACTAAGAACTTTAATGTTAAATGCTGATGCTGATGCATCTCTAGGATTTCTAGTTTTACCACTAAAACTGCTGAATCTGTGTTCAGTCAGGATTGCAGCATTCCTAACTGAAAAGCTAGCAAGATCCATTGGGCTTTGTCTTGACCCCACCTCACCAAATCCCTTTTCAGCCCTGCTTCTACCCAACAGCCCACATCAGCAAGCCAGTATTTTTCTAAGCTTTGCAGGTACAGGTATCCCACTGCTTCCCTCTGCCTATGCTCTTGCGGAAACACTCACTGCATATCTGAGTGGTCAGTGCTGATTCATATACTGAACAGAAGTAAGGAGCAGAAGAAATGTGTATGACGCAGGGCTCTGCTGTACTGTGTACACTGAACTTGTGCATCTCTTCCCACATGAACTCCGTACCATATGGTCTGATCCATTGTGGTTCTTCATATTTTCATATGCTAAAATCTACATAAAGGAGCTTCTCTGATTGCCAGCAACTTCAGAGATTTTGTACATCGTACTTTATTTATTTAAGCCATTGCTACTCCCCCTTCCCTCAGTAGAACTCAAGGCGGGTTCTTCAACACTAAGTTAAAACAATGATAAAATAACAATAAAATAATAAATGCAGCACAACAAAAAGATTTTCCAAAGAATATGAGGCAGTTAAAAGCTTTGAAATCAGACAGCTTCTAGCAAGGTAGATCCAAGTAAACAGAGGAACAACCACATGCGCAAAGCACCTTCTTAAAGAGGAAGGCTTCAACAACCCAGCAGAAAGCCATTAACAATGAGGCAAGATGAGTCTCTCTTGGCCAATGGTGCCACTCAGAAGGACGGCCCAAACACCAGAGACTGGCTTGCCACATTTTGAAGAAGTACAGTAAAATATACTGCTATTAATGTATAGGACCATTAACAGGAGAATTTGGGGAGTCATGGCTGGGGATGGAAGGATTAACCTTCTCTTCCTTGCATGCTGTTTCCCCCCACTTACTGTTAAGTACATTATTCTGGTTCTTATAAATTGACAGGTTCCCACCCCCACCTCAGCTTCATTGTAAAAAGGCATTAGGGTTCAAGAAACAAATAAGGATGGCCTTGTACTATCTAAGATATACCAGCATTTCTGTGGTTGTTCTTGATACCAGACATGAGGTTCCCATTAAGTCATGTTGTGGATTTTGTTCTCTGTTCAACTGCTGCTCAAATAATTATGGCACTGCATCAATGAATGATACAGCTTTTGAAAGCTGCTCCTTTTTATTTTTCCCTGCACACTACTGTGAGCAGAGTGTTTTCCTCTGAGTGGCAGCCCTGATGTTTTTCAGCTCAGCTCTGCCAGTTTCAGGCATTCAAAAGGAATCAGAAGTTCAGAAGGAATCAGAGGCTTCGGCGAATGGGGCAGCATAGAAGCCTCCTAAATAAATAAATAAATAAATAAATAAATAAATAAATAAAATGATAAAGTTTTACTATCCATATGAACTTTTTCCTAGTCCAGTCATTCAAGGATTTTTTCATAGCCATAAGGACAAATAGAAAGTTAAGCCAAAGTTGCTAGAAATTCTTGTGAGACCTCAATGCCCAAATGTATTCCAAAGAGGAAGATAGAAATTATTGAAAATATTGGTGGTTGATGTGTAACTAATAATTGTTTTCTATCTTTTAAAAAGCTATTTGAATTGAAAAAGCCAGATAGTTGAAACAGTGAAAAGTACTGAACAAATATGTATATATTAGATTGGTAGATTGCAACATCTATTCATATAACAGCTTGTGAACTATTTGGGGCCTTGGCCTTGAAGGCTATGTAAGGTCCATTTGCAGTCTTCTTTTTCTCCTTTTTTTTCTCCCTTGGACCTGTCTCTCTCTCTCTCTCTCTCTCTCTCTCTCTCTCTCACACACACACACACACACACACACACACACACCCTGATGTCAACCTATTTATCAGCTAACTCTAAAAAGAGGAGACAAATGTGATTGAAGGCAGGGAAGTGAATTGGAGGATACAGTGTGCTCACATTTTCATGAGCAACTGGCAACCTTAGTAGAAAATTACTGTGTTTCCGTCCTCTATATACTCTGTCCACATCCAAGCTTACACGTTTTCAGATCTGTATACCTGGAATACATTCCCCAACACTTCGGCATGAGTGTTAGCAGAATGAAAACCAGATGGGCCAACAGTTGCCAATGTTATCTCCTGGCCAGCTCTGGCAAGTCTCTCTTTCTCTCTCTCCTTTCTTGGCATGGCAGAAATATTTGCCTTTATTTAGGAGAGCCTGTATTCCTTTCCATGCCTCTGTCACAATGTAAGTTGAATGCTGTTTATTTCCTTGTTGCTGAGGTGGAGGCAAGTGAGAGAAACAATTAACATTTTTAGAAGTGTTTTCTTTCCCTCTGCTCTTTTAACTTTGCTTGTTAAATATTTGGTCACAGTATAAGCTGAGTGATTTGCCATGTTGCTTTGTTAGTTCAGTGTACAACACTCATCTCCACCCATATCTTTAGATGCCTCAGTACTTAATCCCACAGATTGCTGCAAGTACTGCATTTTGAGAGCTATCTAGGCTTATAAGAACTGTTACCTCTGTTAGAGAATAATCATGAAATTATGATTTCCACATTCTTACTTCCTTTACTAGTCTTTCTCATTCCTTCTTGAACCAAATTAACTTTATTGCCTTTGCAGAACTTATGGAATTGAAACTATGGCAGAGTAAAGGCTAGACTTCCTACACTTTGTATAGTTTCTTTCTTAGCATTGCCTAATTTAACCATGAAGATATTCTTGCATAGCTCATTTTATTGGGGCTTGCACAGGATATCTTCTTCATGGATTATCCCCCAAAGCATTATTTTTTTTCTCTTCAAAATCTATCTTCATGTTTTCATGCTCATCTTTATACAAAGTTCAAAAAGCTTTCCTTATTTTCCCATTTTCCTCTCTTTTTGATTCATAATTCATATGATAAATCAAGTTTAACTGGCTATATTGGCACTCTGTGTGACAATATGAACTGAACTGTGTTAAACTGAATAGAAGTTATATAGAGAATTAAAAGCAACTGTATCTGCATTATATGCTCTCCCATTTAAGTTGATTTCCATTACATTAAAAACTCAAGTGAAAAGACTGCACAATCTTAAAGCACTTTAAAACTTTAAGAGAGTGAAATGTGCTCTATTTCCATAGTTTTTTGTTGTCATCTTTTGTTTTTCTTAAAGATTTGATGTCCATTGAAAATAAAAATATAAAGTTAATTTTTAATCTGTGTTGCAGATCGCATTGAGAAACATTCCACAATGCCAGACTCACCTGTGGATGTGAAGACGCAATCCAGGCTGACGCCCCCAACAATGCCACCTCCTCCCACTACCCAAGGAGCCCCAAGAACCAGTTCATTCACACCCACAACGTGTAATTATAATTTTGGTCCATATCTTCTTTCTGTAGGAATAGTACATTGTAGCTGCATTTAAAGAACCTAAGGATGAGAAGAGAAATCTATGCTGCCACATTAGAGAAGGCAGTTCATTGTTGTACACTGAAGCGAGTCTAAGAAGACGAAAGATTAATAATAGCTTTTTTAATAGTCCTTGAGAGCGCTAGACTGAGACTGAGTCATATTGTTAGGTTTCATGCAATTTGAAAAAATAGTTATCACTTTTTTCCTCCTGTGCTCAAAAGTTAAGGCTCCTTCCTGTTTGTAAGAATTGCTTCCTCGAACCATATTACATTGGTTTTGGATTGCTCCATATTATGCACAAAGGTAAAGACAAAGTTGCTTCTTTAATTCCTGCATTTTATTGAATTTGAGACAACAAATGTTCTCCATGTGGTTATGATAGATTGGGTAGTCCTTCTCTTTACCTTTTGGAGGTATTACTAAACAGCAAAGGCTAGGGAGACTGGATTATGTTTTTGTGTTTCTAAGCAATATGAAAAAGAACACTGGTTAGAAAGAATTGTGAGGTTTCTCCATAACCAACCTAGTAACTTCCAAATCTCTTGCATTATCTGTCCATTTTATTGTGAGACTCACTGGGTCTTTTTCTTACTTCCACATTTGGAAACATTTGTCTGGCAAAATGGTGTCTCATTTCCCACTAATGCTTGTTCAGTTCCTGCATTAGCTAATCCAATAATGAGCTAGTCTATACCCTCCTTCCTTTGGGTTCCAAAACCTCAAGGCAATCCTTATTGTAACTCCACAGATGACAGATATCTAAACAGCCTTTTACCAAACCTGGAAGGAGAATTCTCTGCTCATGTAATCCAAACTGGCCATTTCCCCACAGTCCTTTCATAAGACTGTTGGCTCCACCCTCAGGGTGGCTCTTGCAGTTGAAAAGCTAGACAGAAGGAACAAGTGACCCCTCCAGCTGAGCATCTTGTCTTTTCCAATACCTTTCCCTCCCTTACTGAGTCAAGTACTGGGTCCCGCATATACCCCCCGTCCAAAACCCCTTCTGTCTCTTCCAAAATGTATTGAGTCTCATGCTCAGTGTGAGAAACTAGGATCAGGCTTCAAAGGGCTCAGCCCACACTTGTTCCTGCCCCTCCCCCTGCTCCATTTCAAAACCTGATGGTGATTCTCACTGCATAGCCTGCAGTGATAGAGACTGGCCCACTCTCTGCAATGACAGAGGTACCATCATAGACTTGTTTCTTTCATTGTGCTACTCTACAGAGGTGGTTGGTGCGGTATTATTTGCCCTTTCTCATTTCTATTCTTGGATGAAAAGTAGCTCCTCCGTGTCAGCTCAGATAACTGTGGTGCCAAGGGCTATCAGACTGCACCTCCTGCTTTATTCTTTGCCAAGGATTGTTAATTTAAGCAATGAAAAGTCATGTGGCCAGCAGAGTAAGGTGCTCTTCCCAGGAGCCACCTGCCATGCAGAGAGCCCTGTTGTCACCAATGCAACTGTAGATCTGGTGGGTCCAGCTTGGATACATTAAGTTAGCTGATCTCATAAGGAGCTTGTGTTTAAGTGGACCAATGCAGGTCACAGCTCAAGGAAAGGCAATGTTGTTTCAGTTTTTCTCATGGAAATGGGCAGAAAGTGAAAAGATAATTTGTTCAATATTTGGGACAGAGCTTTGCTATGGTATGTAGAGTTTGTGCCCTGTCCATTTTAAATCCAAATGGATAGGGCATCATTGCTCAAATAGTAAGTATCAGTACTGAAAAAGAATATGAAATGCACACTTCAGACACATTTACCTTAGTGATCTGGGATTCCATGTCCATAACCAAAGTGAACAGCCATAGAAGCAAAACTGCATATATGTGAAGCTTTGAATGCTCATTCCAGAAATCCAGGGGGAGGCTGTGTGTTTCAAACATGCTTACAATAAGCAGGGAAAACAGTACATCCTTTCAGATCATTCCACTCATGGGAAGCAAGGTAGGCTAAGAACTCTAGGCATGAGAATGAAACAGTATTTCTTCAGGACCTAAAATCTTCATGGAAATTGACCCATGCTATGTTAACTGTTCCAAGCAAAGCAAAGCAACTACTGGACTTTTATTGTTAAGAGCTAGTTGTGTCATTGTTTAGTTGCATTTTGATGGTGCATCAAAAATATTTTGACATGGTTAAAGCTGAACTATTTCATCAATATTCCATTTCTTTCTTTTTAGTAACCAATGGCACAAGCCATTCACCAACAGCATTGAATGGGGCTCCTTCTCCACCTAATGGCTTTAGTAATGGTCCATCATCTTCCTCCTCCTCATCTTTGGCTAATCAGCAATTACCACCCGCTTGTGGAGCTAGGCAGCTTAGCAAACTGAAGAGATTTCTTACAACCTTACAGCAGTTTGGCAATGATATTTCACCAGAGATTGGGGAGAGAGTGCGTACCCTCGTGCTAGGACTTGTGGTAAGCAAATGAAATCAGCTGGTGGCTGTAGTTTTCTTCCTCTCTATGCAGTCAGAAAATGGGTTTTTGCCATGCTATGTTCATTTATTTCATGTGTATATCATTCTTTAAGAGACTCTGTTTTTAGCCACAGCTATTACATTGAAGCAAATTAGGTTGAAAAATAGTGACATGTCCCAGGCCAACTCTGTGACATTTGTAACTAAGCAAGGATTTGGTCTTTCCCTTAGAAACCCAGTCCTGTACATAGTGGTGTTTTTCTCCTTTTCTGATAATACTAGAACTCAGGACTATTAAGTGAAAATGACTGGATGCAGATTCAGAACTGACAAAATAAATTGCTTCATTTATAGAACTCGTTGGCACAAGATGCAGTAAAATGGCCACTAACTTGGATGTCAGTAAATGAGAATTGGCAATTGCATTTATGTGCTTATATGTTAGTTACATTTATATACTACTTTCTTCCAGGATTATCAAGGCAGTGTACATAATCCTCCTTTCCATTTTATCTTCACAACCAAGTAGGTGAGGCAGACTAATTAGTGACTAACACAGAGTCACCCAGCAAGCCAAGTGGGGACTAGGACCCAGATCTCCTGATTTCTAGTTCAACTCTCTAATCACTGGCTCCCATGAAGCTTTGGTTTCTTGACAAGCATTAGTCATGACACATGGAACCCGCAGTGAACTATCTCACCAGGGACTGCTCTTTTTCAAAGTTGCAGCCTGTCGTCATGCCCTTTTCAGGACACCCCATGCCGTTCCTCTTTCCCCACTAGTTTTGGACCTTTCCTGAAGTAGATGCTCAGTGTTTGACAGCTGCTAAACATTCGCAGTAGTTTTGTTTTGTTTTTTCCCTACTGGTTTGCTTCTTGGATGGGGACAAGGTTGAGAGGAGGGTTTTTACAAACCTTGGGTTCTTCCAAGCCTGTTTCTGGTGCTCTAATTCTCTGAATTTGCTGGTTTGCCACCAGTAACAGTTATTTATTGCCCCCGTAATCAGTATGCCACTGTGCTTTTGTTACTGAACTGTTACCTCCATCTCCTGGTTATGGGTCTGTATTGTGTGAACTAGGATGCTACAGTAGATGGTTCTTTGATATTTATTTATTTATTTATTTATTTATTTATTTATTTATTTATTAAAACATTTTTATGCCACCCCATTCACCGAAGCCTCGGGGCGGCTTACAACAATAAATTAAAAGTGATTATAATATAAATTACAATAATTATAAACATTAAATTACAAATACAAAAACTGATATGATTCATCAGGAGTTTTCTTACATTCCAGCTACTGAGCCATATTAGCTCAACTGAAATGACCAAATGGGTTTGTTAGCACATATTCTCATGATGCTTTTGAGCCTCAAGTGTGTGCATTCACAAAAAAACGCCCCTATGACAGCCTTGAATATCGTCCAGCCTGTACTATGTAGCAACTAAAAAGAAGGTGCAGTTCTCACCACATCCTCTAGCTTGGGAACTGTATCTAATTCTCAGAAGAATCATAGAATAGGAGAGTTGGAAGGGACCTGAAGGCCATCAGGTCCAACTCCCTGTTGAGGACAGGGCTCCCAGTTAAACTATCCCTTTCAGATGGCAGTTCAACTTTTAGCTGTTCAGCTCAGAGACAGTCATATAAAGGCCAAAGAATGGCTCACAGGACACTGTGCCCACTTGCTCTGGAACCTTAAATCCCATTCACACCCTCACGTAGAGCACCAGACTGGAAGTCAATGCATAGAGAGCCTTGAATGTGCCATGAGCCAGCCAGTGCCTTGGAGCTTGGTACCAATCAGTGAATGACAGTGTGAGTAGCAGCTGCCACACTGAAAACAATAAAGAGAATTGCTTGTTAGTCTGAACAAGGGACGAAGTGATGTGAGCATGCAAAGCCCTGTATCACTTTGAACCTTCTTTCCAGATGTATTTTTCTGTTCTGTGATTTATGTGTGAGGCACAAAAGTCTAATATGTAGAGTAAACCACTCAGATTTGTCCAATATAACCATAAAACTTGGAAAGACAGTGCAGTGTTATTGCGATTAAAGAGAAGAAGGGGCAGTAGACAGAAATAGTGATGATGCTTGCTATACCATGTAAATTTAATGCTTTTGGCAGTGCTTTGTGAATACTATGCAGCTGTTAATGTACAGCTGTTAAGACATTTTCTCTCTGAAAAGTATCGTAGACCTAATCTCTATTGCCAAACATTTCTATTATTTATTTTACTGGCTCGGTTTTTTTTTTCATTCAACAGAACTCTACTTTGACAATTGAAGAATTTCATTCCAAACTGCAAGAAGCTACTAACTTCCCACTGCGACCTTTTGTCATCCCATTTTTGAAGGTATTGCACAGATCATTGATCTGGAAACTATTTTAAACCATACTGTTGCAAGGTCACCTATGTTTATTACAGTTTTGCTTCTTAGAGAGGGAAAAATGGATCTTGCATTTACAGTAAGTGCTCTCTTTTTTGGTAGAAGTGGATGCGTCTCTGTTAGAGTAACTCTTGTTTCTGTCTACTGCTGACTAGTCTTGGACTCTCTCAGTTCCGTTACAGTAAGTAAAGTGCATTATGCTGTTTTTTCAAGTAGCTTTAACATGGACTTCCTCAGGAGCTTTATATGACCAGAAATAGGGTTTGGCAGCTAGAAACCCCAGAGATAGGTCTGTCCCCTGATCCTATTCCCAAAGTAAAGCGATGGGGCAAACTAGAGGCAAGAAAAACATAAGAGAAAATTGTCTCTGTAGCAACAGAGCTTGCAGAGAGGGCAGTTTAAGAAATAAAGTTAAGGTGCACTTGTTTCTCAAGTAGCCCTTCACGAAAAGTGGTAGTTACTAACCTAACAACTGGTCCCACAACTGGAGTGTAGAATCAAGGCAAAGGTAAACACTTTTATGCCCCCACTATGTTGGTGTGCTTAAGTTTTTTCTATTAAATCAAGTGGGACTTAAAGGTGCTTTGTTCTGACTGTTTACCTCCACATACAAGACAGTTAAACTTCGAGGGCAACAGTTGCATATTAATACTATTTATTTTCATGGAATACGCTTAATTAACTGAATCAATTAAGAAGCTTGCTCCAGGGTGTTTGCAATATGGAGTAGCTTGTAATGCCTTGTACCTCCTTCCAACACATATTTCTTTTGCCTGTTGCCTGTCCACTTTATGTCCTGAGGCCATGAAGTCATACGAAGATCTGTACCGATTGTGTAAAGCAGTGGTCTCCAACCGATTTGCCACCAGGGAGCAGTTTTGTGGAAGACAATTTTTCCATGGGCAGTGTGGGGGTATGGTTTTGGGATGATTCAAATACATTACAGTGGTGCCTCATACTTCAAACTTAATTCATTTTGGGAGACCATTTGATCTTGGAATCATTTGAAGTCCAAAGCAATATTCCCCATTAGAAATACTGAAATCTGTTCCCAGATCCCGAACAATACCCATCTTGATCAAATTAAAAAGTAAATATGCATAATTTAAGGTAAACATAATTGCCAAATTAAAATTTGAAAATGATTAATAAAATATGTAAATATGTACGATACTGTGTAATAAAATGAAAATTGCATTTACTGTCCAAAATGTTTAGTGAAGTGAATCAGAAAAGGATCCGGAAGGCTGGTAGTTATAAGGGCCTGAAACGGTTCAGGAAGGCAGTGAGAAGAACTGGGAAGGCACATAGTTAAAAGGCACTCAGAACGATCGAAAAGGCACTCACCAAAAAAGCACTGAGAACAATCGAAAAGGCACTTAAAAGGATTGAAGAGGCACGCAGTGAAAAGGCACAGATGCAACAAGAGATGAGAGACAACGGTTGCACAACTGATGATGTTTATGCAGCAACCACATTTTTTTCACTGTGCCTGTGGTTCAAACTTAGAAGTGTAGTTCAAACTTCAAAGGAATTTTATCTTGACTCTAATGTTCCCACTTGGGATCTCGCTCACCACTCATCTCCTGCTGTGTGGCCCAGTTTCTAACAGGCCATGGATGGCTACCGGAACCCATTCGCGGCCTGGGAGTTGTGGACCCCTGGCATAAAGCTTACACTGCCACAGTGTTATTTGGGCCAGATGACAGATTCACATGGTGCTTACCATGTGTGATGGATCTCTTGCTGGATCCATTTTGCAAGTAATGCAGAGATTTGATTTGTTAGCAGGTAACAATGTATATTTAAACTCTTTCCAACATTTTGTAATCATTATGTGCTTGGGTGAATCTGTGCTTTCACCTTCTGTGATTTACATACTTATCTAGCAAGATTGAAATTGCCTTGGATGAGTAATGCAGGGATCTTTTCATACCTACGGGGTTTCATTAAATCCTCATTTTGAGGTCAAGATTTCTGACTAGGATTACTGATGAGCCATGCAGTTCTGTGGTCCTGCTACAGACATGCACAGCTGGGACCAGACGGTGCCATAACCAAGCAGAAGGAATAGTGTAAAAGCTAAGTGTCATTCAGTTAATTGCCTGGTCCTTATATGCCTATCATTTTGCCCACTTCCTTTATCCTATCCAACCACACACCTCTCTCATGTTCATTTGTTTGATTGTCATCGCCTGCTGTTATTTGCCCATCAGTCTTTGTCCCATGGAACCCTTCCCCATACATTGCAGGCCAGCCAGAACCTCCCTGTTATACCTTCAAATAGGTCAGGCCAAAGTGCAGATCCATGGGCTGGGTAAGGAGGTAAATCCAGTTCCCATCCCACTGTATGTGCATGTTCCATCCTGAAGACAGCTTAGGTGTTGAGTAGGAAGCAAGGAATATCCACCAGCCTTTGATATATCAGCAACTGGGATGGGTAAACCAGGAGGATACAGTTCAGAATCCCAGTTCTCCCTATCATACTACTTGGTTCAGCATCAAGAAAGACCTGAAGGTCAAGGAAGTGTTTCTAAGAATAATCTCCATGTGTCTGTGGATTGTTTACAGCTGGTGTTGGACCAGCAAAACAGATGTGGTCTTGGTTTCAGTGTTGATGTCCTTCAGACTTAGCGATTGACCCTGCTAAGTACCTATCATCAAACATGTTTGGGGCAAGGACATCAAAGAAGCAACATCTCACTGTCTCTATGCATTCTTCTGTTTGCCGCCCATTGGAGCTCTTTAGAGTCATTCAGGGCCTATTGCACCCTATCCCCAAGGGCATTTCAGACCCCCTGGAGGCCCAGTGCTAATATATTTATCCTAGGCACTTCCAGGACAAGATCTCTTGCATCTGCCTGGACTTAAAGTTAAAGCAGAGTTAAATCAACTGAATCTGTTGAGAGACCCAGAGAATAGCCTGGCCCATTTTTCTTGGTTGAGTTTCAGCTAACAAGGTCCTGGAACAGGCTTATGCAACCACATCCATACTTGGACCCTTGTTCCTCTTGGCAGGGAGAGAAAAGCCAGCTGGGCTAGGGCCATGATCAATGCCTCTTTCTGAAAGGGAATATTTCCATACTGCCTTACACAGATAGTGGTGATTTCACTTCTCATCTGGACTGAGAAGATCCAAATAATTTTAGGCCTGTGGCAAATGTTCTCTTCCTGGATAAGATCCTTGAGTGGGTGGAGGCCAGTGAACTCCAAGAACTCTTGGATAACACTATCTGGTTCCATTTCAAGTAAGGATTCAGGCTGACCTGTATGATGACCTGTGCTGATGGAGAAACAGGGGAATGTAATATCCCTACTCGTACTCCTGGATTTCTCAGTAGCTTTCAATCTCATCAATGGTATCTTTCTAGGGTGACTGAGTTGGGAAAGGTACCACACTGGAGGGGTTCCGCACCTACTTGGAAGCTTGGCTCCAGAAGGTGGTGCTAGTAGAATACTGCTCAGATCCATGTATTTTCTTCAGAGTTTCCCATGCTGTCCAACATCAAATGACATGGTTTTGGGGAGCACTGCCATCAGTTTTGGGGAGCACTACCATCAGTTCATGGATGACACACCACTCACTTTAGCAGGTGACAGTGTGGATGTGCTAAATGTTTAATAGCTACAACAATGGACTGGATGCAGGTTAACTGACTGAAATGCAATCCAGACAAGACTGAGGTGCTGTTGGTGGGTTGAATCCTGTGATTGGATGCAGTGCTCTCAAGCTGTTCTGGATGGGGTTGAACTCCCCTTGAAGGAGTAGGTTCATAGCTTGAGGGTGTTTTGTCACTTGAGGCTCAGGTGGTCTTAGTGGCATGGGGTGCTTTCTACCTGCTTCAGGTGGTAGCCCAGCAATGTCCCTATCTGGACAAAGATTACCTGGCTTCAGTAATCTGCACTCTGATAATCTCTAAACTAGGTTACTGCAATTGTCTCAACATGGAACTATACTTGAAGACAGTATGGAAGCTGAAACTTGTGTGAATATGGCAGCCAAACTAATAACTGAGACCAGATAGTCCAAACATATAACCCTCATTCAGTCCCACTCGCACTGGCTGCCTATATGCTTCGAAGCTCAATTCAAGGTGCTGATTTTAATACACAAAACAGCCTGAAACCATACTATATAATGGAATGCCTTTTCCAACCATAATGTACCTGGATGCTGGTCAACATCTGAGGCTTTCCTCCAAATGCCAATGGAGGCTTGGCTGCTGATAACAAAGAGGAGGGCCTTCTCTGTGATGGCCCCCAAATTACATGGTGATCTCCTAACTGAGGTCTCCTGACACCAACTCTACTATCACTACCAGCTTAACACCCATAGACTTTGCTGAGGCATTTACTAACTCCAAATGGTACACTGGGTGGGTGTGGGGGCAGGAGTCTACGTCCAGCTCTTTGTTAGCAGGTCTAGCAGAATAGACTCGTTTTAGTTGTTCAGTTGTAAACTTGTCGTTTATACACGGTTTCACATTTTACAGTATTTTATGTTATCTTATTTTATTCTATATTGCATTTATTGCTTTTGTTCACCACTCAGAAAGCTCCAGCTATTGGGTGGTATAAAAATTGATTGATTGATTGATTGATTGATTGATTGAATCACAGGACCTGCCTTATAGTGAGTTAGCCCAATGGCCCATAAAGCCCAATGTTGCCATCACTGACTGGCAGTAGATCTCCAGAGTTTCAGGCAGGATTCTTTCCTAGCCCTTACCTGCAGATGCCACAGACTTGAAGTAAGGATCTTCTTCTTGCAGAGTAGGTACTCTGCTACTGAGTTGTAACTTCTCCCCATGTATTATTGTGTTGTATTTTCTTTGGCCTGGTTTTCATCCTTCAAGGGAAAGGAAATATTTCAACAGCAGGATTAGCAACTAGATTAATGCAACTGAATCATCTATGGAAGTGATTGTGTGCCCCATTTTTTCCATTGCTATAGTTTGCATCTATT